CAAATTAATATTATGAATTCTTAGATTAATGAATGACAAGCGAAAGGAAATATTATCAAAACTGATTAAAGACATATAGGTAAAAAAAATTAAAGCTGCGACCTTCTGATACTACCTACTAACAAACCTTGGTACATCAAACTAGATTTTTCTAAAATTCTCACAGATATTTCTCGGTAACTAATGCCGACAACTAGTTAAATGGATAGATAAATAGCACTAGGTATTTTTGTCCCTAGGCTCTTGTAGCTCAAGTTGTTTTAAGTAAGTAGAATATTTTCTGCTTCAATATACCTTGAAATCTTTCCGTGAACTACTTTATTACCTCAACACTATATTGCATTTTGTAGGGAAATCTTTTCATAGTTTAAACTGCGCTACATTTAACATAATCTTGAATAAAAGATGTCCTCTCAGCGCCCAGTACGTTTGTGTGCAATGGCATTTTTTATGGAGAGCTAGGTCCTGTTTGCCACACTAAATAAACGTATCGCGATTTGTCAATTAACTAATGTCCGGTTCACCACAATCTAGGTCCGTCTTAGTAAAACTATCCCCTGCGACAACACACTCCGTGGGAAGAAAAAGCAACAAAACGCGAAATGTAGTCGTTTTTTGCGTTCCTCTGTCTGTCTATCGTGAAATTTGCTAACTCCTCCTAAACCACGTAACAGATTAAGATGCAGTTATTTAACAGATAGCGTGATTCAAGAAGAGGGTTTATATGTATAACACATGCCAGAAAAAAAAACGCGCTGGTAATTTAATTGCAGTGGGTGATGCCGCTTACGGGCTAGTGACGAATAAAACAATAAAATTAGGCAACGTCTTTACAATGCAACTTAGAGCATCAATCCAAACTATGAGGCACATCATAAGGATTAAAACGAGCTAAACGAAATATTAATGATGTGATGAATCGGGCCATAGAAAATATTCTGTAAATTATTATCGCCATTTTGTGCTACAAAGCAGGACTCATTGTATGGATGAAATTTTGATGTCCAATCGGTACCGTGGCTAAGTAGGACTGAGTTTTTATCGCAATGAACCTTCCCGTAGTTTGCATAAAATAATTGCATACATTCACCGCAAGCAGGGAGTCCCTAGTGTAAATGTTGCCGTCTCTAAAAAACATGCCGATTTTTGCACAAATAATTGTTAGATGAATTATTTTTTTTAAAGTGGACTTTATGTGTGCCTTAAGGAAATTGTATACAAAACATAAATAAGTATAATATTTGCTTTTTGTTGCTCTTCTTCTTATAAAGACTGGCCAAGTGCAAATTAGACTCGCGTATGAAGGGGTCCGATATCCACAAAAATGTAAATAAACCGTTTGTCGAAAGTTGGTTCAAAGGCTGCCTTGAGTGTTAATTCTATATTATTTTTGGTAAGGTTTTGTTGATAAAATTTCTGTATAATTGTCGCGGCTTATACATACGATAAGTATCTTTAGGCAGAGAGATGGAAGAATCACAAAGTCTCATTAATAAACAGTTTACTCTTTGTGTACGGAACCCTAAAAACCAACAATGCTTAAGCGGTAACAAATGTTATATTAAATTTTATACAGTTGGGCTGCACGCTCCATCGTGAGGAAAATTTAATAATCTTTATTAAATATCGCATCTTTTTAATATGAAGTTGTCTGAAAATATTTTCAGTTCCGGCGTGTTTAATTTAACAGGGTGTTTACTCATTTAAGGAAGCCATTCTTTATATATTCTATTATTATTTCGAAAAAAAAATGTTTATGCGTCATATTTCATTGTAGACATTAGTCGCATAACTCTATTATTTGTATGCCAGAAAGATATATTAATATACAAATGCATAGTCTTATTGTAATTACGTACTATGTAGATGTACCTATAAGTATTCTTTTTTATGCGCTTGTCGCTCGCTACAGACGTATGCTGTATTTTATCCAATAAATGGGACGTTATCTTTTAGTTTTTCAACGAGACGACGTGTACCTACATTCACACCTATTTATCGTAGGTATTTTTTAATTCTTTAGAGGAGAAGATCACTCGCTGCATTCTCCGGCTGTCATATGGCGCTGCCTTGTAGTAAAGTGGGTACTTGGTAGTAAACTCAAATGAGAAAGCGAGCGCCAAACAGCTGTGAATACAGCGAGTGGTCTTCTCGACTATATCTATACCTACTTACATACCTATCTAAACACGATAGATATATATATACACTAACTTATAGAAAAGCTATACTCGTAATTCCCTCTTCAGTGCCATACTGCGCCGTATCCACATTATTTATGATTTCATTTGGTCTCCCGTATTTTAGCGATGCGGTATTTTGCATCGCAACGAGCGCAATTTCGCGACACCGTGCCCTACCGACTTATACTTATTGGCTTAATAAATTCTTTGTGTAGATACGAATTATTATAGGTACGATACCTTTAAGCGGAAGAGGTTTAAAGATAACAAAGACATCACATAAGGTGATTGACAAAAATCGAAAAACTTTATACCTATATTGAAATTTGGAAATTATATACTTCATAATAACATGCATTACTTACAAATTAGGAACGCATTCAAATTATTATGGTCAGGTATACAGTCAGAAACAAAGAGAGCAACATTAATAAAATGTATTGGAACTTTTAATGCACTTACAGCGCATTATTCTGCGGTGGAATGGTGATCCACAGGCCCGGGTTCAAGTCCCGGCGGTCGCTAGTGAATTTTTCAATTTTCTCATTATTTAATTATTAAAATGACATTAAAAACTACAACGGGTAGGTACTTTGCTAAACATGGGCCTCACTTTTAACTGCTGGGTATTGCCATACTCACTACGTTTGGTAAGCGCAGTGCAAGATGTTGCATTCACAGGGTACACTGGTTGCCCATTTACTGAATGACTTTGTCCATTAGTCGATTTTGTACGACACCTACGGGGAGAACTGGGGTGATGCTATCCCTAAGCCGATATCACATAACTTTTATTTCATGTCCAACCGCACATATCAGAATGAGATTCGAAGCCCTATGATTCCCTAGTGATTCTCTAGTTCATATCTTTCAGTTTGGTCCACCCGAAGAGCATATTACTTTGAAAAGTAATCAGAAGAAGTTAGGATGGCAAAGTCAGATACTAAAGTATGATTTTGCAAAGGATTTAGTAATACAAGTTGGATTTTAGACTTACTCGAAGTACAAAAATATTTAGGAAAACGCTGGGTAAGTACGTATTTGCAATGTTTATTTATTACTTAGGTAGGTATTGTAGTATATTGGATTTTTGTGCTTTAGTAGGTAGTAGTAATAGTAACGATACGTATGTACCTATATCGAATATGTTTTCGTGCAAAATTACGATTCAAACTAGAAAAGTGAACCTGACGAAATAACAACATTACAAAACTCTTATAAAGGTGCTACTGGAAGCCATTAAATGTTTTACTATCGTATTGATACCTTCATAAATAACTCTTTACCACGGTATTGGCACATTTACAAGTAAGCTTAGCCATCAATCTCGCGGGGGTACATAAATATTGGTACCAGAGAACGACCACATAGTTTACTAGACGCCCAGTATGCCCATTGCTCCAAGCAAACAATATTTAGTGTGTGTGTGGCGCCCGCTCAAAATAGCACCACCCTATATTTTTCCTGTAGATGTCGTAAAAAGCGACTAAAGGGTTTGAGAGTTGATGTGTATTGTAATTTTAGGCGACAGCCTGACAACCTCTCACTATACACAGTCTTCTGAATGACTCTCAAACATTCGTCAGACGTGGTGTAAATGGCCGTTTTTTACGGCTCTGCCTACCCTGCAAGGGATATAGTCGTGATATATGTATGTATGTAAACGATTTAGTCATCAATTTGCGGTACAGGGGTTGAATGCAGGGTAATGTAAAGGATGAATGCTGATGGCCCGGTTTTATAATACTTATAATTTTTCTCCTTTAGTGTACCGTACACATACAACTAAGGTCCTAGCTTACAAGTAGCTTACCAACTTACTATTGTCCTAACAAATATGTATAGTTTTATTTTATTACTTTTCTAATACTGCTGCTAGGTGACGGTGAACAGTGTTAGAGAAATGTAGTACGCAGTAAAATCGCCTAGTATCGCGTAAATAAAAAAGTTGCAGGTTTGTTTCGACCATAGTTGCAAGCAAGGATCATATATTTGTATTTTTTTACGGTACCATCTATTGGGCTGTATGGTCGTTGGGTACCAGGGATGCATCAGTTTCGGGCGTGGGGCGGCAACGCAACGTAAACGTAACGTGAGCGGAGCGTGAGTTACGGTTATGGCGGCCGGCCCGCTTCCGGTGCGCTGCCCTTCAATATCCGCTACTGAACGGACGAGTAGATATCAATATCCCGGTTTTTATTTTTGAAAAAACTACCTACAGTGTATCGACCTTGCATAGTTGCAAGCCAGGACCATAGTTGTATTTTTTACGGTGCCATCTATTGGGCTATATGGTCGTTGGGTACCAGGGATGCATCAGTTTCGGGCGTGGGGCGGCAACGCAACGTGAACGTAACGTGAGCGGAGCGTGAGTTACGGTTATGGCGGCCGGCCGCTTCCGGTGCGCTGCCCTTCAATATCCGCTACTGAACGGACGAGTAGATCAATATCCCAGTTTTTATTTAAACATCTACCTACAGTGTATCGACTTTGCATAGGTAGGTGCAAGCCGATACTAAATATTACGTAGAATTTGAAATATTCAAGCTATTTTTATTTAAACACACACAAAAAACTATTTAAGGCAATCGGTTAGTTTTACCCGTTCTACAGTCCCTCTCATTAAATTACTTGTTCCCTCTTATATTTTCGATTGCGTGCGCTGTTCTCAATATCCGCTACTGAACGGACGATTAGATATCAATATCCCAATTTTTATTTCTGAAAAAGATAGTTGCAAGCCGACACTGAATATCAAGTAGAATTTGAAATATTCAAGCTATTTAAGGCAATTTTAGGAAAACTTGCAAAATTTTCCACCGCAGGCAGGATTTGAACCTGCGACCTTCTTCATCTGCACTGCCGACGCCACTACCAACTGGGCTACTGCGGTTCCAATCAAGCCTGCGAATTTAGCAAGTATATCTTGTCCACCTAACGCGTGGATGGGCTCCATCTACCGGGATAGTTTTGCAACTAATACGAGAAGTGTTTTAAAATTTGGTATTCTATTTAATGCAATCAGCAAGTTTTACCTGTTCAACAGCCCACTTCATTGAATTTGTTCCCTTTATGATTTCCGGCTGACTGCGTAGATTTTGCTTCTTATTATGTTACGTTACTACGGCATTTCAGTCAATTTATAAAAGAAACATACCGGTTTGTTCTTCGATTTTTATGTTGACCCATAAAATTACACAAATATCAATATCGATTACCTAGGCATTGATTTACCAAGCCAATAGGTAGGTATGTGTGTGTAATTCAATAGGGCACGGTGTCGCGCGCGATATTGCGCTCGTTGCGATGCAAAATACCACATCTCTAGAATACGGAAGACCAAATGAAATCATAAATAATGTGGATACGGCGCAGCATGACAGTGTCGTCGAGGGTATTACTTGTAAGTAGTTATGTGACATTTCTTTAAGTCTGCGTACTATACATATCTATACCACGGCACAAAAACATTTGATCAATAAGAAATGTGTCATTCATTATCCATAACTTGTTAAACAAGATGTAGGTTAGTAGGTATATAGGTATAAAACACACAAAACACAAAAAAGTACATTTATTTCGGTATTTTAATGCTGTGTTAAAGAAATTTGCAAACGTTTTGCTGGTCTATGTTTAATATTACCTATTGTTGTTCAAGATTTTCATTGTATTGGCCGTAATTTACTATCTACCTACTTATCTACTTCCATACATCCTTGAGTTAAGTATGCAACAAATACAAAGTAGATAGGATATGAATCAGAATCAAAATACGATAAGTGAGTAGGTAAATAAAATGTGATCAAAACATTTAGTCAGAGCTCTAGGGGCAAACCTGCGAAATTTTGCGGTCGGTTGTACGAATATGACAGCCAGGCCGTAAAAGATTTGATGTCATATTGAAAAATCTTTCGTGTGTTTACCTACAGTGGATTACAAAAAAGATAGGTAGAATACCAAATAAAACACTTCTCGTGTTAGGTATAAAATTTTTGGAAAACTTGCAAAATTTTCCACCTCAGGCAGGATTTGAACCTGCGACCTCGTGTTAGGTATACAATTTTTGGAAAACTTGAAAAATTTTCCACCGTAGGCAGGATTTGAACCTGCGACCTTCGGCATCTGTACTGCCGACACCACTACCAACTATCCCGGTAGATGGAGCCCATCCACGCGTTAGTGGACAAGATATATTTTCTTATTTCGCAGGCTCGATTAGAACCGCGGTAGCGTAGTTTGTAGTCGCATCGGCAGTACAGATGCCGAATGTTGCAGGTTCAAATCCTGCCTGAGGTGGAAAATTTTGCAAGTTTTATAAAAAGATAGGTAATTGTTTTCCTAAAAATGTTCCTGTAGGAAAACTAGAGGCATATGGATGTGATCTTGTTTATATTGTTTACCCTGGTAATCAACTAATGCAACTACGCGTAGTAGGATCGCCAGCAAATCATTTAAGGAATCAACATAAATAAAACAGTGTTTTTTATTATTTGTATAAAATACCAGTATAAGTTAGTCTCTTAAATGGGTAGATGGATTTGCTGGCGATAGGACATCGAAATCAAAAAGTCATTAACTTATTCGAAAGGTTAATGTACCTGTGCCAAGTAAGTTTTTCCGTAGCTCAGGTCAACAGCAAACGTGATATTAATAAAAGCGTAACATTAATAATGAGTGATCTCTTCCCTCCATGATATGTACCAGCTACGGCGAACACCACACCTGACGTCCGCTGGTGCAGATAGTTATGCAGGGTAAAATTTTACTCGTGACTGAGAGCGAAAATTCAGGATGGGCTGGTGATAAGAAACAACCTTTCCCAAGGAACTTAGGTCGATATTGGAAAAATATTTGGACTTACCATAGGTACAAAACTGTAAGATCAGCTGATATGAGTTACCTACTTTAAGAGGTATTTTTTTTAATATTTCGACCTTTGTTCCTTATCACCCAGACTGTCCTGCATTTTCGCTATCAGTCACTAGTAAAATTTCATTCTACTTAGGTAGGTATATTGCGAATCTACCATAACGAGTGTAGGTAATAAAGACAGTTGCGTCTACTTTACGTATTACTCTTGCATCAACGTCCGTTTTCAGTAAAATATGGGGATTTAATTGCATCTGACAGATGCATGCGTTACGTATGCGCTAAAAATGCGCTGCGACGGATATCATATCACGCAATCTGGAATCAGTTTACAACATTTATGACTTACGAATTTATGTGAGATCAAATCTCAGCATGATTTTTTGAAAAGTCATTTAACTTTTATGATATCAAAGATATTTTTGTTACATTGATTTTGTGAGCATACAGCCACAATTTTTTGTGGTACTTTTGTGTTGAGAGGTTTTTGTAAAAGTTTTTTTATGTAAATAAAAAAGGGAAAGCTAAAAATACGCACGACGGATGTCATGTGTGGGAACCACCTATGCTACGAACATGTGGCGTCCTAATCCTGTTATGAGGGAAAACTTTGTTAATAAGAGTGCTGTTTGGACAGACGCCTTGTGTGGCCACACACACAGTGTGCCCGATAGCAAAAACTATGTTCATCACATTAGTATTAAACCACTGTACATGTAGATACTGGACCTTTTTGAACCGACGTCCTTAAATAATTTTAACCAAATACTAAGTTCCACAGTTTGACTTCGATTGATATTTTGTTTCCTATAACACTACTTGTCACAAATAAGGGAAACGCCGCCTATACAGATGGCTCACTCAGTACTTGCGACGATTTTGACGCATTTCTTGGCTTCTAAATTGGCTCAGAATCATAATAATATGACGTTCTTTATCAGATTTTGCTGTTTTGATATTTTCATACTTTGAGATTTTTGACAGTAGCAACCCTGGCATCCAAAGTAGGGCCGAGTGAACCTTAGTTTCTATATTTTTTGGTAATGTTCAGTCGCTATATGTGATATAAGAAGAGACGCGTACCTAAGAACTTTGATATTTTAAGAATCCAAAATTCTTTGACATACCTAATTATTCGCATGTTTGTTTTGAATATTATATGCGATGATTACAAATCAAATAATATAAAAAACCTTACACCCTGTATTTGAGCTGACCTGAAGAATGGCGATATAATTATTTCTGCTTGCTAATAATGTTTCTCGTGGTGTGTTGAATTTGTTACTTCGTTACTTGTTTTGTGTTTACCTACTTCTGTTCTGTTGTGCTATAGATTATATTAAAACTAAAGTGGAGTGGAATGAAATTACTTAGTCTACTATAAAATTTAACATAAATTCCTTTATTTATCATCATTATTATGAATTTCACTGCAGGTATTTATATTTTTATCTTGTATTTTTTTTCTACAGTTATAATAGAAAAAAAATACAAGATAAAAATATAAACAGACTTTTTGCAATTATGTACATGTGGCACTATAGGAGAATATTGTGCACTACACTAAATTACAATAAACGGCCGTTATAATAGGTCATATTTGACATCTGTCAGACCCATACGAGAAGACATGTCAATAAAAAAATTTATAGCGTTGACATGATTTTAACACCTGTCAAATATGGCCCATTCGATCGGCCCTACTCTAAACGTATGTTCGTACTAAAGTCCAGCCTAAAAATTAATTCATTTCTAATGAAAGGTAACACACACATCATGATGATGCCATGTGGGTGATGAAAGGTAACAAAGAAAGTAATTTGAATAATTCAAATAATCTTTTTTTAGATCAGATCCTTAAAATAGTCCAGATGCATCACATTTTGCACCAATTTCCTCGTAGGTTATGTTCAAATTATCGCCAGTGCGGTGGGGCATAGGTGAGGTGCCCTGGGCGCGGTGGATACTGGTGAGGTGGGGGTGGTGGATAGTGGTGCACCTGAGGTGGGTGGTGGACCACCGGCGGGTGGACATGCGGTGGGTAGTGGTGTGGTGGGTAGTGGTGCGGTGGGTAGTGGGGCTGTGGGGCTGGCGGGTAGTGATGGTGATGGTGCGGAGGATGCCCTTGCTGGTTCCACGACATTCCTGGAAGGATCGGAAATTATTCAAGATATATTTTGACGACTTTGTGATTAGTTATTTGAGTGATTCTTTCAGTTCGTTCAAATCACTGTCCGGATCAAAATTCGGCAATAATATTGACTTTGAGCTAAATATTTTGATAGAATATGTTTACTTACAGAGTAAACTAAATGATGCATTTATCATATTTGGATTAAATACAACGATGAGAAAAAGTTCTGAACAAGAACTTCCCAAATCTTCATTACTCTCCTTGTCCAAATGGTACCACGGAAAAGTTTTTAATTATTACTTGGCTTTCCTAATGTAGAAGGATTATTTTTTTGTAGTGAAGTACTCAGAAAATGAATGTAGATTATCAGTATTTAATACAGTATTTTTAAATAACGTGCAACCTAGAAAGAATCGACTTAAAAGTTTTGTCAAACGAAAAACGTCATTCATTTCCATGAAATTGGAAATTAAAAATAATTGGTTTCATATCCCTATTAGTAACCTAACAAATCGATCACTACTCACGCGCACTTCAGTCGCCCCCACTGCCGAGCCGAGTGTGGACGTGGACAATTTAGAAGTGTAAAAAATTTACGTTCTTCCGCGCGGAGATGACGTTTGTCACAGGTGAGTGTTCATTATATTCCAATTATTTGACAAGTTAGTGTTTGAGATAAAATTAAAGTTTTGTCTTTAATTTGTAGTATACAGGGATGTTATACTAGGTTGTATTCGTTGTCTTCTTTTTTAACCTAGAAACAAAAATATCTGAGAAAAACTGCTCAAACTTCATTCCACTCCGTTTCATTACCTTCCGTTTCCTCAAAATTTTACGTGGAAATGAATGAAGCTGATTTGGAAGGTAATGATGTTTTTTCGAACAAGTGT